GTTTGTGTGGGGAAGACTTGTCCACTCTTACAGACCCTTCTCGGTTTAGTGTTTTTTGGTGATTTTTTCATGAATAATGCCTTCATTCTGTTCGTAACAGGTTTTCATCGCATAGTTCAATAGACCAAAGTCCAAGGCAACCCTCCTGCCGCCAATCTACCAATCCCCTCGACTCGTCTTCCCAAACGAAATGAAAGGTACGCCAGCATCAATCCATTAAAGGAGTCTTCATAAGTATGCTTTTGTCCCATCGACAATTCCAGCACAGAATGTGAAAATGCCTGGCCTGACCTGAAATGAACATCCACTTTGTGACACACCCAAGGGCACTCGTGACGATGTGGGTTAGTGGTTAAAGTGTTGAGATGGTACGGCGAACTGACTTGGTTCGAGTCCCGCTGGCAACGCTGATGAGGCTATTTTAAGCCAGGTCAAAAGTGAATTGTTTACTTCGATTTGGATGGGAATATGTCTTGGAAATCAAAAAAAAAGTGTGAAATTCAAAGGAAACATCATCAGCTTTGGGGAGCTTGTCACAAATAGTCGCTTTAGCATCTTGAACGATGTCTGGTGCATAAGTCACATTTTCATGAAGAGTAATTGGGTTTCAGGCAATCTCTTGACATTTCAGAGTTGTGGAGACTTTTATTTCGTGTGAAAGTGTGTCTGATGAAGTGATTTGTCGATTGTGTTTCCGTTTATTTTAGTACAACCTTCGTGTTTAGACAACTTTGCTTGTTCCTGGTGAAAACGGGCTCAGCTGGTCTGCGTCAGTCCGTTTGGCAGAAGTCTCCAGAGCTGAAAAATATGCTCTCGCAAGCGTCACGAAGAGCATTCGCCTCGAGCCTACCGGCGGAGTCGATCAAGAAGTGTCCATTTCGACGAAATGAAAGTGTCTAACGGACTGTCGGATTCTGAGACCGAGGCCGAGGCCGAGGCCGGTCGTAGACCAACGGGCCGGACTTTGTTTTCGTTTGCGGCCAACCGAACCGCGGAGTTTCTGCCTGTCGCAGACGCTCGCGCCAACAAATGAGCCAAACCAACTCGTCCGAAGAGGGTCGTGCAGGTCGGAGGCGTAATTAAGAGGCCACTCGACGGGTTCATGTCGTGTCGGTTGGCCGAAAAGGAGTTTGCCCACACTTTTCGGCCAATTTCTCACCTCGTCCCCGGTCCGGAGGTAATCAGGCCGCCCTCTCCAGCGGCACTTTATCATCGACACTTGATCAAGCCGAGGCCGTGCAGGGGCCGCGAAGCACGGGACTCGGGACACGGGACACGGGACATGGGAGACGGGACATGGGACAGGGGACATGGGAGACGGGCACCGACACGATGCCCAAGGTCGGCCTGTGATTGGTCCCCAGACAGAGCCGTCGCCCACTTCTCCCCTTTCCCCCTCTGTTTGTGCCACGACGGACAAGTACATCAGAAGAATAATTCATTTCGCTCCGTTTTACGACACCCTTAAAATAAGTGAGCCCGGCCCGGCCCGGTTCTGTTGGCAGAAGACGGCGCGAACACGACTCCCTCAGCTCGCCCCCTCGACGGACACAATGTTTGATTTGGGATCAGCAAAAAGTGGAGTTTTTTTCTCGTTAAGCCCCTGTCTGTATGTGTATATGTGTTTGTGTGTGTGTGTGTGTGTGTTGACTAAACATCTGGCTGTCACTTTGTCCACACCCGCGTAGCCTCACACCTTTACAGCCGCATACCTTAACACTGCCACACTCTCGGCTCTTCACACATTCTCACATTTTCACATTCTCACATTCTCACAGTCATACAATCGCACTGCTCCACCCCCGGTCATATTCACACCGAGCACCTGAAGATAATGGGCGCTGTAATGTTCACAGGCCGCGCCCACCTCGTGGCCCATGTCTGGCGTGGCCACAGGCGGTGTTCTGGTGGCGGGTGTGATGCGGGTGTGAATGTGGGTGTGGGTACAGGTGCAGGTGCAGTCTTAACGACCCACGGAGTCTGAGCTGCCTGTCCGAGACGAGTTTGTGCCGGTTGTCAGACCGACGTGTCGGCTGTCCGATGAGCACGTGCTATCGGGCCGAGGGATCGCAGAGCCACACGAAGAGGGTTACAGGCCACGAGACGGGGGTGTGGGGAGTGGGGGGGGGCAGGGCGGACATGGCTCCTGTCGAAGGAAGATGACAAAGTGGAGCTTGTCTGTACTTGAAGGGGGTGGACCGGAAAGAGGATGAAGCCGGTCTGATAAACCGTCGGTTCTCACCTCCGCCGCCATCGCAGACACGAGGGCAGCACTAGCAATCGCTTCGGCCCTCCTCCGGTACCACATTTCAGACTACACGACTCGACCTTCACCACATCCCATCCGACCCGACCCGATCCGACCTGACCTGACCTGGCCCGTCACGGGTGTCGGGTCATGTCGAGGCTTCGCCAAAGACTGCGTCGAGGTTGTGGCCGAGGCGAGTGGGACGAAAGGAAGCGGAGTCGAGTGCGTCGGCGACGACGATGGAAAAAAGTTGTTCGTTTACACAACGACACCTTTCGAGGCGATCGGTTGTTCGCGCCCAAGAGCCAAGTTGACCCAAATGGACCAACACAATCCGACCAGTTTCCGCATCATCTCATTCAGCCCGAATGGAGTGCAGTTTCGACCCCGCGGCAGAAATCCGATGCGACTCGAACGCGAGTTGCGATAGTGGGGCGCATACTTTTGACATGGGCGCCAGTCAATCACAAGCTAATTTCGTATTAGAGTAGAGTTTCGTGACTGCCAGTAAATCAGTAGTATGAGATGTATTCACCCAATTTCGTGTGAGGTGATGAAGGACTGGTAGAAGAAGCATTTTCCCACAATCACATGAGTTGAGCTGACGTTTCCATTTCAAATTCCGGTTGACTGATTTTATTTTCGAATTAAATATTGTTTTCGTGACTACCAGTAAATCAGTAGTATGAGATGTATTCACCCAATTTCGTGTGAGGTGATGAAGGACTGGTAGAAGAAGCATTTTCCCACAATCACATGAGTTGAGCTGACGTTTCCATTCCATTTCACACAGCCTTGTTTTCCCAAAAGTTGTTCTCATCCAGGATGAGGTGGACTACAGTTTCGACCTCGCATCGGTCTTAGTTTTTCTGCGACTCCGTGATAAACTTTCGTCTGTACCACCGTGACAGAAATCATCAGAGCGAGCATTCATACGTCACGAAATAGCCGACAAATTGTATACTAGTCTTCTCTTTGTTCAGTAAATTTTTTGGCTATTTCATGAAGTACCGATACATGCCCTGAAGACATCTGCCACCGCGGTTCAGACTAAAGCTTTCCACAGGCTCTTTGGGATCAGAAGAAGATGAGCTGACGGCTTCTTCGCATAACCCGCCAGTCTTCATTCTACACCAGTCAATACTCTTTCGGTGTCCGATGACAAATTTTCACGAATTACTTCCAACCAATTTGTTTTTTTAAATGGAAGGCTGTCGCAATAGTTCACTAAATAATCCTTTGAAAGACAATTTTTTGATACCTCATGATTTTATTGTCTGATAAAATCGGATGACCACAAGAAGTGCAATTTTTTTAAAAAGATTAAAAATTAATTTATAAGGAAATAAGCATATAATTGTATACTTAATATTTTGTATGTAATATTACAAATGTCTGTATGCTCATACTATCATGAATCGTATTTACACCGTTCAGGGAGTTAATAACTATTCCAACCACGCTAATGTGAAGGGGTTACATGACTTTATTTTGATGAGGATAATAAGTCTGCGTCTAGCAGACGTAAGCCACAGAAGCCAAGGGTTCGGTTGATTGAGGCATATATTGTAGAGAACCAATTCCATATAACTTATGACATTTATTCACCCAATTTTGTTTAAGGTGATGAAGGACTGGTAGAAGAAGAATTTTCCCACAATCATATGAGTAGAGCTGAAATTTCCATTCAATTTCACATAGTCTTGCTTTCCCAAACGATGTTCTCATCCAGTCACCAGTGGACTGCAGTTTCGACCTCAGCCTGGATGAGAACAACTTTTGGGAAAACAAGGGTCTGTGAAATTGAATGGAAACGTCAGCTCAACTCATATCATCTGTGGGAAAATTCTTCCTTTACCAGTCCTTCATCACCTTAAACGCAATAGGGTGAATACATCTCAATTCACAAGCTAGACCAAACTTCTCGAATATATCACATTTGAGAAGTGCTATTTCTGCTGTTACAATCTATTATACTACTTATAATCACATCAAGTAGACAATATCGGTTCGCCCATTTGTGAGATTGTAAAAAAGTGTTGAGCTCACTTTCATTTCTAGTAAAAGTGATTGATAGAATTGATTGCCATCAAGGTTGAATCTATCGAAAGACAAAGTTGAATTTCCCATTTTACCAGCTGTCAATTGGCGCTATTTCCGAAGCAATCATCTTCGAGACCGATGAAAACTTGCTAATACTATTGTTAAGAATTTCATTTTGTATGAAAGTCAATCTGATCTACTGACAGTCTGACGGTTTGATGATCTATGGTCTGACGATCTTTTGATCTTCTGTTCTGACAATCTGACGACCTGACACTTTGTCAGAATGTCAGTTTGTCGAATTGGAATTTCAACACTCTAACCGTCTGATGATATGTCCGTCTGTTGGTATTACGCTTACCCAATCCGATTGTCTGATTAGCTACTGCCTCCTCTCCTCAAAAACCATGCTAACATCACATTTGCTATGCGAAGCAAAGTCGGGTTTCGAACAATCTTAAGAGATAAGATTGTCGTTAATCTGGCCAGCAGAAGCCGGCTGATTGGCGGTGTAAAGCAGGCGTTTGGCTTGACTACGACCTTCCGGTTGACGCAGTCCACGAGACATCCTTCCAC